AGAAGGGGGGGCTAGGAACGGAGACCTTTGGCGCTCTGAGCTTCAGCCAGCGTTAAAACAAAACAAAGCAAACACGCATTTCGTGTAAAGGGGGGATTAGCAGAACGCGGTGCCCTCCCCGCCCGCCCGGAGGTGCCCTGTGGGGCTGTCCCCACGGCCGGGGCAGGCGGTGCCCTCGCCGGAGAAGAGCAGAACGAGGCAGAAACGAAATGAAAGAAACAAAGTTCCCCCGCGTTGCGTGAGGGCCGGGGCCGCAGGTACCGCCCCACCTCCCGCCCGGGCATCGGCGGGGCGCCTCATTGGGAATCCGAAGCGGGGAGGGAGCGGGAGCGGGCTGCAGCCTTTGCTGTCTCACTCAGCCCTCCAGTGTCTCGGAAAGGCAAAAGCAGCGAGCGCGTAGCACCTGTCTGCGGCGGGAGGAGGAGCGGGAGGGCGCGGAGGCGCTAGGTGTGAGTCAGTCTCCCGGGGACCCAGCGGCTGGAAGGAAGAAGCAATGTTTACTCGGTAGATATGAGCGAGATCCGCCGCGGACGAGGGGCTTCTGTGCGGAACCGCTCGCCGACTCAGCCCCGGTAAGCAGCGCCGCGCCGCCCCCGCCCCGCACCGGACCCGGGAGCCGCCGGCGGAGCCTTCCCGGCCGGGCAGCTCCGACCCCGTGCTCGGCTCCGGTACACCGGAGCCCCGGACCACGGCCTCAGCCGGGAGGAGGCTGCAGCCCTGCGCTCCCGCAGCCCGGCGTACCGCAACGCCGTGTTCCCGCAGCCCGGCGTTCCCGCAGCCCGGTGCCCCGCAGCCCGGCGCTGCCTGTCCCCGGCTCGGAAGCCCGAGTTCTGCACCCCCCTCACCCCCCCCCCCCCCGGTCCTTTCGTTTTGTCCGAGGAGGGATGCGAATGTCGCGGGGCTGCGTTTTCTATACGGGATAAGCGTAACGAGGCTGCGTGCCGGGTGAGCGCCGTTCCGAGCGCCCGGCGTGAGCGCGGAGCTGGGTCCTTTATTTACCTCGGGAAAGGAGCGTCCTGCTACCTGCTTGGCGCCGTGTTTGTTAACACAGCTTTTGTCCCACACAGAAAGAGTGGCTTTGGAGGAATTTCTCACGCAGGGATCCTAGCCATTGTTTTGAGAGAGTAATTGTTGAGGTGCCATCCACATCACAAGGGATACGAAGACTTGTTTTTATTTTTATCTTTTTTCCAGTTTCCCCCGCTCCTTTTCTTTGCCTTTTTGGCCCCCGGGAATGCGTGGCAGCGCTTTGTGCGGGGCGGTGGGGATGCTGGCAGGATGTCGGCTCGCTCGGCCGCCGGTGCCAAAGGATAAGGGGACGGCAGGAGGAGGGGGTGGGGGGGGCAGGTTGTTTTGAAAGTTGTTTGTGTGTTGAGAGCCGGTGGGAAAGTTCAGGCTTCCCCATTTGGAAAAGGCAAGGCTGGGTTCCGCTCTTCCAACATGCGCTTTCCATTTTTAGCTTCATTCAGACGCAGACAGCAGCTCCTTTCCTCTTCCTCTCCTTGTTTGTGTGACACTTTCTGAGGCAGCCTTTCCACAGGCAACCAAGTGGTCGTGCGGCCGTGACCCCGCGCTTTCTTGGGCATGGAATATTTTTTTTTTTCTCGGAGGCATTAAGGAAAGGCTCTGAGAAAGGTACAGCGGTTGTCAGCCTGGGGATTTTTTCCTCTTTGTTTTGGTTCCCTCCTCGCTATGACCGAGGCTGGCATTTCAAGGCGCTGCTTCAGCCAGCGCAGCTTCGTTTACATTGCTTTTTGGCTATTACTCAACTGTACCAGCTATCCTGCATACGCTTTTAAAGTGTCACAGACTGCTGCATTAGTCACGCTGTCTCAACGGAAACCACAACACTGAAGGACAATGAGGATTAAAGGCTGTTTTCTTATTTTCCAGGCTGCTACACAGTGTAGCTCGGACGCTGTGAGTTTCAAGAATCTGGTGAAAGGGAGAGAGTGGACAATGAAAATGGACATGGAGGATGCTGACATGACCCTGTGGACGGAGGCCGATTTCGAAGAGAAGTGCACGTACATCGTCAATGACCACCCATGGGACCCCAGTGCCGATGGAGGCACCCTCACTCAGGCAGAGGCTTCCTTGCCAAGGAACTTGACTTTCAAATACTCATCAAACTGCAAAGAGGTAAGTGGCGGTGCCCGGGGAAGGTTGGAGTCAGATGAGCCAAACCACTGCGCTTCGGAAAGTGTGCGCTCGCCTTGCCTTCCATTCTTTACTCATGCACGCTATGCCACCATCAAGTGCTGCCCACTGGCTTTTAAGATGGGATTCTCATAATACTTTTAAGAAACAGCGAACGGGGCATCTGTCATGTGGTATTTGCACTGGGAATCGCGTCCAGCCTGTCTCTGAACCCGGCTCTGAGCCAATTCACAAACAGTTAAATTTTCACACAATTTGAACAGCATCTGAATAAGCATATTTAAACTGCGGGGTGGTTCCCTGTGCCAATTTCTTGACTGCTGTTTGCCAGGACCATTCATTGCTTCTGGCACAGAGATTAAAGTGCCTCGGTTGTCCAATAAATAACTTTAAAAAAAGTAGAGGGAAAAAAAAAAAAAAACAACACAAATTCCTGGAAATGTATTTAATTATTTCTTTTTGTTTTCCCTTTGGTTATGAAATTGCTTTATTCTTTTTGTGAGCTCGCCATGGTCCCGACTTCCTAAATTCTTCAATTCGGCGTATCGATTGAGGAGGTGACTCAGTAAGCTGGACAGCAGGATAGCCATAGCTCAGATTGACTTGTGTTTATCTGGGACAGCATCTTCACTGGTAGCTGGCTGTGCGAGTCCGTCCTATCCGTGTCCCTGGAGTGGGTGCATTCTTTGTTGTTGTTTCAGAAGGGCTGGAAAGAAATGAGCCCGGATGAGCAATTTGGTTTTGTGTTTACTCCTTCCTATAGAGTAGCTATTATAGCTAGGTGTGATGTTCAGCAGGGTAATAACCCAAGGGACAACCCTTCATTTCTCCTTGTGCTGAGACTTGTGGTGTGGCAGCTATTACCTGTGCTTCTGCTTTGGCTAAACACACTGACCACAGAGCTGAGGAGAAATACACTCATCTGTGTCTATCAAATGTTTCCTCCTAAAGCAGGTACTTGTTTAGTCCTGCATACGCAAATAGGGCTGGACCCCCAGCTGGAGGGTATTGGCACCATGGAATCGAGTTTGGCAGTGCCTTGTACAGTGCCTGGTAGGTTTGCTAAGAGGTTAAAGCTAAATTCTCATGTAGAATCTCTCTTCTCTTCCCATCTGCCCTGCCCTGCCCCGCAGAAGTTGGCAGAGTAAGGACGCGCTCCCAAAAAAAAAGCTCAAAACCTTGTTTTGCCTCACTGTATCATGAGATGCGTCTGACTTTGGGGAGAGATAACACCGCAGCTTCACTGTGTGATGCAGAGAGCTCTCTGGGCTGAAGGATGGGCTTGTGGCACAGGGCCCAGGCAGCTAGCCAGGGACTAACTGCCCAGCTCAGGCTTGGATCTGCAGCCACGGTAGTGGTTGTCCGAGCAGCTTTCAGAATTCCCAGCACTGTGTTGGGAAATATCAGCATGCAGTTTTCTTGTGCTATAGCTGAGCTCAGTGAATTGAGGTGGGAGGATTGCTGTGATTGCTGTACAGGAGGTGGGGGGAAAGAGAAGTTGCTGAAGGGTTCCAAGTTCTTCCTTGTCAAGTATGACCCGCACAGCTCCTTGCTAGTGGGAGTCTGAATATAGGACATCCTCCTTTTGTTCTCCAGAGCTCCCCATGCTCGTTTATTTGCGCTGAATAGCACCTACTGGCAAGAGCAATAGGAACTCAGGAGCCCTGTCTATTTCTAACGTAGCTCTGTAAGAAAGGGACTTGCTCGTTTTCTGTGAAAGGTCTGGTGCTGTCACTGTGTGGACAGGTCACTCGTTTGCTTCTTGTCTGCGGGGTGAGATAGCTGTGCGTGGCACAGCCCGTTTGTCCTCTCACGGCTCCTGACGAGAAGCATTATTTTTTTTGTATCTACCTTATAAGTCTTGATTTTGTTCAGTGGGGTCGGAACTGGGTGTGTGTTTCTCTTAGGCACTGGCATCTGTGGGGTCACAGAGGGAGCCTGGCTCTGGTTTTGACCTCATGGAAAACCACCAGAGTCCTGACAGCGCTATAGGGTGGGATTTTTCACTTGCAAAAGTCTGAGGTAAGGTATCGGGGGATGCTTGCATGCGTGTTTGCCAGCGGATCTCAGATGTGAGCTGTCTTAATTGTTAACTTTCAGGAGAACTGCGGCTTCATCTGGTTGAGAGTTTTAAATGCTGAGTCAATTTATTGACAAAAACATGTCTAATACACCGCTTGTGAAATGCTAAATACTGTCATGATTAGATCATGTGGTTGACATGATTAGCATTGTATCTCCATTTGGAGAAGGAAAAGTACTGCGTGCCTGCCTAGGAGGGAGGAAGTACTAGCGCTGCTGTTTGGGGAGGGCTGCTTTTTGTGTTTCTTTTCCTCGCACGCTTTGTGAAGTGAGTAGTGCCTCTGTAAGAGCTTATTGAATTTGCGAGAGTCCATGACACATCATACTCTTGTTTATTCTTGGATCTCGATCGGGGATTTTTCTGAAGGACACATTTTTCGTTATGAGTTCACAGTATGTGTCAGCATTTTAAAAAATGAATTACTACTGCTCGTAACATTCTGGGCTGCTAGATTTACGTGAAGTCATTTATTTATTCCTATGCATGAATTATTTATCTTTGTTCCAGTTTTAGTGCTTGTCAAAAATGGACAAAACACAGTGCCAAAATCACACTCAAGAAGGCCATATGTGAATAATCTTTTTCATTTTCAAAACATTTTTTTTTTCAATAATTTTTCCCTTTGGCTTCACTTATAGCCCAAACAGCCCTTCTTGACATCAAGTGACAGTTATTCGTCTGCCTTGAATACTGCCAGTGCTCCATCCTGGCATCCCATCCTGTGCTCTTGACAGTGAGAACAGATCTCAGTGAGCCAATAACTTGTTGCATGTCTCTGCTAAGGATGCTTTTCAGCAATGGACGCTATTCTGAGGCAGTGATTTGGAGCTGTTACCAATGTACCTCACACACTTGCTGTCAGGCTTTTATTTCTTTTGTATAAGATCAGAGAGGAAGCAGTCTGAAAACATTTCCTCTTGTGGCAGTACTTTTAGAAAGTGTTAACTGAATGAAGGGTTAAATTGTTAAATTTAAGTGGGTTTATGCAACTATAGACCTATGAGTTAAGAAAAATCACCATTATTCTAAAGCACATGATGGCTTGTCCTGATTTGCGTCTGGAAAATACTGTTATTTCACAGTGCACTAGAGCCAGTAAGATTTTTTTTTTTTTTTTTTTTTTTACATTTTGTTGTGTTTTTGTTATTCCTTTAAAGCTATTGGTCTCGTTGTAAAACATCCTGCTTTTATAGGAGTCCATCAGAGTTGTCATTTATTTCAGTGCTCTCACTACAAACAAGCTATAGGAGCGCTGGCCTATTAAAGCCCTTGCTAACAGTGAATCCTCACTCAGAGCTGCTCTGTCCTCTGCGGGAGCTGCGGGCTGGCCGTGCTGCACACTGGCCCGCTGTTGCTGACAGAGTGCTGAGGCAGCAGTGAAGCCAGTGCTGCCCATAAAGCATCTGCTGGATGGGCTCCCCTCAGGCCAGCTGAAGAATGAAAGCCCCGCCATGCCCGGCATCTGGCCAGTGGGATGATGGCAGCTCAGCCCTCGCACCGCATTAGGACCCTGGTCAGTTCCAGGGCCGTGGCCACTCTGGGCTGGGTGCTCCCCTCCATGCAGCCCCCAGCTCCCCACAGCCCCACGGTGCAGCCGTTGTTCCATAAGGCTGGCAGGGCCCTTTCTATGTGTTCCGTCCTGCTGGGACCATAGTGAAGGAGGGGAAGCTCCACCCAACTTTGGCCAGCGCACTAAGATCCAGCATCAACATCATTGTATCGGGTTTGGTTTAGTCCTCACAGTACAGATGATGTTTTACTGAAAGGAAGGATGTGTCTGTGGCACAGTTGGGAGAGTGCTAATAGTTGTTAAGTGGCTATAGCTTAAAGAGAAAGGGGATAAGTGTCAGTAAAGAAGATAATATTCTGCAAATAGCATTTTGCTCGCTTACTGCATAGGTTAGTTTGGCATGCCTGCAGGGACTGTGTAAGGGTAGAAGGCTTATAACAGCGCAAGCAGAACTCAGGTCACACTTCTCTCTGGTTCCCTGCCATGAGACTGCTTTGGAAGGTCTCACCAGACGGAGAAACGTGCTGAAGGACACCTGGTGGACACAAGTCTGAAATGCCTCTCTGCAATGGCTTGTTGGCAGCCTGCAGCCAGCTTCCCCTCAGTCTGACCACGCAGTTCCTTTACTGTTTAGCTGCAGTCCTGAGCAGCTCTGCACTCTGCAGGCTCCTGTTAAACTAATCCCAAAGCCACACCCTTTTGGCTGTGCAAGGGTCTGATGGTGGCCTGGAGCCTGGTGCTGGTTTGGCACGATGATCCCCATCCCCCAGAAGGTAGCCCTCCTCAGCACCAGCACTGACTCCTGGAGACACTGGTATCAGAAAGCCACCCTTGGTTCAAGATCAGCTGGGCAGCTTTAGTCTGATTCAGCAGAGCAAACACACACATGTCTGGAACTTCTGCCAAAATCACCTTCTGATAGTAGGGAGTGAGAAGCTGTCCTCATGTTCTGGGGAGGAAGCAAACACTCTATGGAAGTGGATATCAAAAAGCATCTGCTGTGTCAGAGGTGCCAGTGCACAGCGAGTGTTTCAAGTTGACTGGTTCAAGGAGTGATTTCTAGAGATTCTGAGAATTTCATTAAAGTCATTTTAATTAAGGGCAAGATATTTTAAAACTGTGAAAAAAAAAACCTGCTACCTTGCAGTCAAACTGGTAGAATATGCTGTATCTTGGTAGTGAACTTCTCTTGAGAGGGCAGATGGATGTAAATGAAGATATATGGGGAAGATGTGAAGAACATCTGCCTTTTTCAGCTCTCTATGAGAAAATGTACAAGCAAGACAAAAATAAAACTGAGCCACTGAGCTTGTTTCAGCTTGTGGTAGGTGTAGGAAAATTTCTGGAAGTCCCTTTTTTGTCTCTTCAGTCCAGATGCACAGATCAATGGAGCATTTAACTACCTCTACTGTTGACATTTAATTTGTTTTGTGGTGTTCTGAAACACGTTAAAACATAGACAAGCGTGAACAACAACCACGCCACATACACCCAGCAATCTGTTTCCGGGTGGATTATCTCCTTGATGCTTGGGCTGTTATTTGTTCCCTTTATTTTGACATCTCACATGAAATTATGCCAGGCATTAGTTGGTTACTGGGATTTTTAATCTTAACCAGTACATAGACAAGTACTTCTCTATCTCTCCCTTTCTCACACTGAAGGTGATGCAATAGAAGAAAATGTACCATGAGAAAATCACAAGGCTTAGCTAATTTGTGAAGTGTTGTCTGCAGTTCAGGGTTTTTACCATCTTCTGCTGTGAAGGACTGTTAAAAAGAAAATGAAATGCTCTCTGAAGTGAGCTAACTGCGGGGTTCGGTGACTGCTAATCTGCTTTGGTACAAATGTTTATTCCTTGCTGGGTATAGACAGCAGTAATCCCCATACTCAGTGTTTATCAACAAACTCTGCTATTGCTGTCTTGTTCTGAAATCCTGATGAGCAAAAAGACAGTTATTAAGTGGCAAGATGCATGAAGGGAACATGATTAATATGTTTTGCCATGAACGTTGATGGGCTTTTTAACATCCTTTCTCTCCACTGTCTCAGCAGCAGGATCAATCTTGCATAGTCTTGGGTTTCTGGTTTACAGAATTGCTGTTTTTAAACATTCTTTGGATGTATTAAATTTAGGAAGATTGGTCAGAAACAGAGAGGAACAAAACCAATAACTCAGCAGTGTTTTGCAAAGGGTTACTCCAAGGCACGTTCTTCTGAATAATGATGAATTGCTTCCTGATTTGTGGTCAGTGACTTTTTTTGGTATAATTACTGTCAAGAAGGAAGCTGAGCAACTAGAGTACATTTCTTAGACCTAGCAGTGGAGCATTTTCATCAAAACCTTTACGCCTTTTTGACCAAACCCACTTGTCATATGTTACCGGAACTGCTGCCTCCTTTTTATAAAAGAGGGTGATCTGTGAGTACATGTTACACTGCCATTTCGTGTTCTGTTTTGTATGCCACTACTGATGAGAGAATTGTAGGTCTTGTTTTTCTCCTTTTAGCTATAAGGAGGGGTGTGGAGTAAGAGGAGTAGAGGTAAAGTTTCGTTTTGATCTGGAGAGGCAGTCATTCCAATTCCTAACAGTAACTGGCTGTGTAGCAGCAAAGAGATTGATAGTTCTTGAATATTTTTATTTGCTGGAACTAGGCTTTAGAGATTGCCTTTTAATAGGAAAAGTAACTTATGAAGTTATTTGACAATCTCTATATATTTTGCTTACTGTTTCTTTTTGTATTTCTACAAAACACATTTTTCAGGCAGTGTTCATCTTTGGCTTCCCTATGTCTCGGTAAGACTTTAATGTCTAACAAAGCTGGTCATCTCATATCCAGTACAGTTGCTAAGTAATTCTGTTTTGCTGACCTGCCGCTAAAAAATTTCATGTATTAGTTGTTTAACTTTATAAGTTTGCGGGGCAGGGGAGAGGAAGGAAGAATTACCAATTTTTGCTGGCAATGGACTGATCCTGTGCTGCTCTTCTTGTAGGTCACTGGAGTTATAAGCAAAGAGTACATCCCAAAAGGAACACGCTTTGGACCCCTGGTAGGAGAGATCTATACCAGCGATACAGTTCCCAAGAATGCGAACAGAAAATACTTTTGGCGGGTAAGCAGGAAAAAACAGCACCATGTTGTTGCAGTAAGCAGATCACTAAATGAGTACAGCTGAAAAGCTGGGTCACTTCCTGCTTCAGACCTGTGTGAATGCAGGGGGCAACTTTTGTGTGCTGCTGCCACAGAGGAGCAGGGTGAACATGGCAAGCTAAGCTGAGTAAGAGCCTGCCTGCCTTGAATATAGGGACTGTGTAGGTGGAGAGAGCAAGGAAGATACCCAGACCTTCCTGGCTCTGTCCTCTGAAGCAGTTCGGTACTTAATGGGATAAAGAAATAATTCTGCTGCTTGCTGTAGGGGCAGGTTATCTTGAATTTCTTCACAGTAGAAATTCATTCTTGTTTATGTAAATGTCACGTATACCTGATTTTTGCAACTATGAAGAAGTTGTGAAAGTACTGCATCATCTTTTTCTCTGGAATCATGGTATCTTTTAGGGTATTTTTTCCTGGTGTTGAATAGAACTGCTGTTCTATATATATACATATATATTATACTCATAGCACGGAGGTGGTGATCTTCAGCATGTACAATTCAAGCCGTAGGCTTTTCTAGTCTGCTTCAGAAAGAGAAGCCATGAATCCTAGTGAAGAGAAAATTCATTAAGGGCAAATTCATTAGAGGCGATGCCTAATTTCTGTTCAGTATTATAAGTTGGAAGGGAGCATCAGCCAACTTGTTTTGGCATGAAACTCCATGCTGAGGAATATGCCTCCAGTTTATCAATTAACATAATCCTCAGTTTCCTTAGCAGACCCATTATTAATTTTTAGGGAACATTCTTTAAGCCCCTTTTCTTCCACGGATTTGTTTTGCCGCCTTTAGCCAATTAGGCTGCGTCTAAATCAGTGGATTTGGGAGTACATCCAAGCCTCTGTGCCCAGGTGCCTCCCTGCCACATAGCAACATCGCAACCTCACATCCAGGTGAAACTCAGGGCAAGCACAGTTCTTCCTAGCTAATTGCATCATTTTGGTTTTCTCTGATCATCCTCATGCAACGTAATACAGCATTGCACAGGCAGTTTATTTGCATGAGTGTTTGTACAAAGCCTGCAGCTGCTTTTGCATTCATTGGGCTACAGCACTTTTCTTTTAGCTGAGGTTTTTGGAGCTCGTGTCTGACGTAGGAAGAAATCAGTGTGCTGGCCCTAGCCCTGCCAGTGGTTTGTAATACAGAGGACTCTGGGATCAGAGCTGCTCACCATCTTGCTTCATTCATACATGGCAGCAGGGAAAATGACATCATTTTCATGATGTGATTTTAAGCGAGGGGATCCTTGGAAATAATATCCTAGGAGCCATCTAAGCATCATTAAATTCTCTGCTGTAATCTCTTGATTCATTCAAGATATACTGCTGCACTGAAGATGAATTCTTTCCTATGGGGCTGAAGCAGGCCTGCATATGCAAAGGAAATTGTGGGAGATAACTTCCCACATATTGCTGAAGGCACGCCTGGCTTGCCGGTGGGAGCGGGAACATCTGCAGCGCGCGGGGGGATGCTCGAGGGGAGCGGGGCCGACGTCATTTCTGGGAACCGCGCTGTGACTCAGCACATCTGCTCTCTTCTTACCCAGAAGAAGTGGGAGCCCAGCAGGGCAACTAGGCCAGGGTGGCGGGGGCGTAGGCCCTGTCCCATCCTGTGCTGGCCTTGGGGAGCAGTCAGGGCAGGCGCTGAGCGCTGCGGCCCCGCGCTGTTCCTGGAAGTTTGCGAGCTGGGGCGAGCGGAGAAAATTGACGGCTCCTCTTGAGACAGCAGAAATTCACCCATCTCCCTTCCATTTTCTCATAACAAACACACCGCAAAATCTCTCGCAGGCCGCTTTGATGAGGCCACATGTATTTCCCCCTTCTCAGTTTACAGGAAGTTACTCTTAAAGAAAGTGATTCTGGTGTTTATGGCCCGTGTTAAAGGGCCAGGCTGCCTCGCCCCTCATCGCCGGCGGCTGTCAGGGTGGCGAGGAGAGGTCCAGGTGGGCGCAGGCCCGGCATGCCCATCCGATGGTGTGGGCGCTAAGGTGGGAGCAGGCCGCCCAGCATTCTCCTTCTCGCAACAAGCTGTCTCCCCCCTTCTGGAGGCATTTCCTGCCCAAGGAGACTTGTCACCGGGGCAGGCTGCTCCCTTTCATGTGCCCAGTCATTTAATTTGCAAGCTGGGGAACTCCGTTTTATCCAGTATGGAGCCAGTTCTCCCTGAGAGCAAGGGATGTGTCCGGAACAGACGTGTCTCCTGGGTTTTTTTCCTTTTTTCTTTTCTTTCTTTCTTTTTTTTTTTTAAGTACTTCTCCTATTCTTCCCACTTTAAGAAACAGTAGCTTCTCCCAGTGGCTGGGACTTTTTCTCCCCCAAGCTACAGAGCAGTGTGTAGTTCCACATTTTCATTCCCGTCCATGGGCAAGTCAGAACGTGTCCCTTGATAGGAAAAGTGACTTCTCATCGACTGGCCCCTTTCCAGGTCTTCGCTGAGTTATGGCAGGTGAAGTTCATCTCTGCCTCGCCCAGCCTTCTTACAAAAGGGCTACAGTCCAACTGTGAGCAAGTGTTGCTTTAGGACTCTGGGGGGGGTGGAGGATGTTTGCATAGTTTAAACCTTTGGGCGGGGGTGGTAGGAAACTGCAAGTACAGAGGCCATAGAAAAAGGTGAGAAAGACTCTGACGTAGCGCAGCCAGTCAGTCTTATACACAGGTGACTCAAAGCATTAATGCAAGCATGCACTCAGACCTGCAATCATTAGTATCACCCAGTTGTTGATCATAGCACCGGGAAAAGGACTCAGGCAGGGAGAGTACTTTGCGTTTCAGATTTTGTGTCTGATTTGCTCATGCTAGCAGAGCTACACAAGCTGAGCAGAGATGGAAAAGGTAACTGTGTACTTGCCTTTGAATAAGCATTTCTTTTCTTAAAACAGAGAATATCATAATTGGAATGGGAAGAAACCCAGCTTGAACTCTTACTTCAATAATATCTGCTCAGTTTTTTCTTGAGAGCTTCTTCTTTTTTTTTTTTTTTTTTTTTTAACTTATCATTTTTCCACTGTGGACTCTGTGCACGCATGTTGAGTATCATGCATATATAAATATATAGATACTCATAGGCACTTCCTCTCTGTTCCAGATCTATTCAAGTGGTGAGCTTCACCACTTCATTGACGGATTTAATGAGGACAAAAGCAACTGGATGCGTTATGTAAATCCTGGCTACTCAGTTCAGGAGCAGAACTTGGCAGCCTGTCAGAATGGAATGAACATCTACTTCTACACTATCAAGCCCATCCCTGCCAACCAAGAGCTGCTTGTGTGGTATTGCCGAGACTTTGCAGAGAGGCTGCACTATCCCTCCTCCAGAGAGCTGACAATGATGAACCTCAGTAAGTGCATTACAGTATAAACAAAGAATGCTAGTAATGTCTCTTCTGCCTATATGATCTAATAGTAAGTTCTATAATTACACAGCTGCATCATCTGTTGTGTCACAGTAGGTAGCTTGGAGTGGAAAAGGGGAATTAAAAAAAAAAAAAAGCACAGCAGAATGAGTTCCCTGTGCCTATACAAATGTAAACAGATTACTAAAGATCTCAACAGTTACTGTTCTTTATAGAACAGCAACTGAGTATTATCTGAAATTCTGGACAAGACAACCTGAAGATATCCTCTGCCTTAGAACCATAGCTGTTGGTTCACACATAGACTTTCAAGTCCAGATCTCATAGAGTATTTAACAAAAATCTGCTTTGATAGCATATACTAAAAGCTATCCAGTCATTTTCTGAAAGTGCTGCCCTTACTGTACAAGGAAATGGCTGTGTGCCATGACTTTGTCTAGGTGTCTGACAAAATATATGTTGACTATATAATGTTCTTCAGGCCTGGCATCTAAGGTTACTTATCTTCTGGGAGCAAACCTCATGTGTTCTTCTCATCTGGTTTCTCATATTTTAAGCTTGGTATATTCTGTCCTCATTTCTTGGCTGCATAGTACAGCTTTCATTTTCTGTTCAAAAATAATAGCACGGGGGAAGAGGTATTTCCAGGAGTTTATCTTTGGGTTCCGCTGTGGTTTCTTACCATTTCCAGCCTCAGTGCTCTACTCATAGCATTAATCACTGCATGGCATCTCACCCAAAGTCCCTTGAAGAGGAGTAGCGATTCCTGCTGACTTCTTATTCAATTCTTAGGCATCCTTGCCTCCTGTTAGCTGCTCTGAGACTGAGCAGAGCATTCTTTTGTCCTTCTGCCAGCGCCAATACTGAAACTTGAAGCAAAAATGAAATAAGTT